AAATCTTGACTTAAAGCTTTCGTGACTGCAGGAATTCATATTTTTTGAGTCTTTCGGTAAAGTCACGTAGATAGGTTCAAAGAAAATAACAAAAAAATAACAAAAAAAACGACGTTTCGATCACAACACAAGCGATCGTCATCAGAAGGAAAAAAGATGACGATCGCTTGTGTTGTGATCGAAATGTCGTAGTTTTTTGTTATTTTTTTGTTATTTTCTTGGAACCTATCTACGAGACTTTACTGAAAGACTCAAAGAATATAATATTTGACTTAGAATTTGTATAGAATTATTATTTTTGGAAAAATTTTGACAATTATTAAAGTTTTTTTTCTTGCGTGGGTAACTGAAACGCAGAGCATAAGTGTGAAGTATGCCCTAAAAGATTACGTAATCGCGTTACTTAGAATTCGTGCTATGGGGGGAGGGAGGGGGGGTCATGGGGGCAGGCGCGTTACACGAGGGATGCCTATACATCGTGGTCATCATTGAGTTTATGTATGTATGTTGAACTTCTTTCGCACCTCCGTAGCCAATTGTACTCATTGGAAGTATGGAGGAAGGATAACAAACTAAACACAAAATGCAATTCTAAAGAAATTGCATTTCAATCTAGATTTAAAAGTGCATAGCTCACTTGGCTTCCTAATATCAGAAGGAAGAGCGTTCCAGATGGCCATGGAAGCGCATATGAAGGCGCGTGATGCAGGCACCATTTTTGTTTGATGGCTTGCCAAAAGTCGCTGAGAGGATGAATGGCCTTTCTGTCACGGTTTATGCTCCTTGACAAGATCGGCAAGATATTGTGGTTCATTTGTGGCAAGCACTTTGTATGTGAAGAGTGCAATCTTAGAATGTATTCGTTCAGCAACTGGAACCCAATTCAACTCAGCGAGCACCAGGACATGGTCGGATTTTGCAGTACCCGTCATGACTCATGCCAAAAGCGGTTTGTACTTGCTGCAGCTTGCTAATATTTTTCCAGACGTCCCGTAGAGTAGTGAGTTGCAATAATTGAGCCTTGTCCATTTAAGTCCTTGAGGAGCCCCTTGCTGTCATGTGGATATGATGCAGCAGCACATTCAGTGTTTTGCCAGCAGCAAGGCAACCCAGGGTGGGCAAGGAGGTTCCTGTGTGGACGTGTGCCTGCGTGTGTGCGCATGCCTGTGTGTGCATGTCTCCGAGTGTGGTGGAGTGCAGCGCTGGTCACACTGCCTCATCTGCCATGCCAGCCTTCGGTGCTAGCTAACAGCACTTGCCTCAACAGTAGAGTACAAGGGGGATCTTTGTTTTTGGTGGTGCGTAGGCTGTCCGCAACGGAGTGACTGAGCACACGCAGGCGGCGGGCACGATGACGGAGTACAAGTTGGTGGTGGTTGGCGCAGGAGGCGTGGGCAAGAGTGCCCTCACCATCCAGCTCATCCAGAACCACTTTGTGGACGAATACGACCCCACCATCGAGGTGACGTCCCCCCCGCTCCCCACCTCCGCTGCTGCAGCAACACACGATGTCCACAAGGGAGGAGCTCCGAGTGCTCACTGCGTGACTGCTGAGGTCATGGGATTCATCTGGCAGGTGGCGCAGCAGTCAAGAGGCAGAGTGGTGGTGCAGTGGTCTAGTCACACGTGCCTCACAGGAAGAAGGTTCTGGATCAGAATAATGACTTGGGCGCCTTTCTGTGTGACGTTTGTATGTTCACCCCCTGTTCTGCATGGATTTCCCTCTGGGTTCTGCAGTTCCTGTCAAAGCTAAACAAAGATATAAATTTCTATTTAAAGCTTTCGTGACTGCAGGGATTCATCTTCTTGGTTCTTTCGGTAAAATCACGTAGAATGGAAATAATCAAATAATCAAAATTAAACATAATAAAATAATTCTCACGACGTTTTGGCCACAACGCAAGCAGCCGTCCTCAAGTGGTGAACAGGTCTGTCGAGAAGACAGAGTCTGAATGACAACACCCCAGGCTTGGAGCGACTATTTAAGCTGGGATGGAGGGGGAAGAGCGCCTTGACAAAATAATTTGCATATCAAGAGGAATTTATCATATTTATGGGAAATGCAGATATGCGATTAGTACTACTTGTGAAATGCGTAGGAGGTTTGGCGGGGGGTTTAAAGTCATGTTTGCCCGTGTATTATGCAGGATTAGCAGCATCAAAGGGAGGGGATAGGGGTAACATTAATAAAGGGAAGGAATGTTAATAGTATGTAGCTGCAGTAACTAAACCACCACGTAAACAACTAAAGTATAAACTACATAGTATCATCAGTATACTAAATATACTCTCCAATAAGCTGAGCTACTAGCAGTAAGTAATACATTACAATTCTATGTCGCAAAAAATATAATATGCTTCCAGCTAAACTTTATTCTCTTACATCACACGAGTCTACACCGTACTATATACTGCCATAGACAAACCCAACATTAAATTATATACTGTATTACTATACACCACCTTATACATTGTAATATTACACTATGTATTATTCTACCCACCCTAATGTATATCACACTGCTGTATATTCACTAAACAATTACGATACTATATATTACTTTCTACATTGTATTAAACATTACAATTTTATACTATTTATTATTATACAATCCGCTATACACTGTACCATTGACCGTCACGTGAAAGATACTAAGAGGAAGCAACGAAATATGTCAATGGGAGAGTAGTGGTAGGAGACTTGCAGCGGAGCAAAGAATCCATTCCCTGCGAAGAATACAAGATATATAGTCAATGCCAGTGAGTGGAACGTGGTCTGAAAGTCACCGTAAACGTGAACACAATCAGTTAAGATCCGAAATGGTTTATTACGTCCTTCCAATGATTGCTGAGCCAGAATCCATCTTCTCGGTTGAAATTGTTTCTGTGTTTGTATATGTAGACAGAGTGGCTCATTGAACCATCAGGTCTCCTTTTAATTAGGACATCCAAAAAGGGTAGCTTGCCAAACGTTGGCTATCTCTGGTTGTAGCCAACGTTTTCATGGAGAAATTTGAGACTGACGCCATCCAGACTGCCACTCTACGCCCGACCTTATGGAAGAGGTACGTAGATGACACTTTTGTCATCTGGCCACATGGCCGGCCTGCTCTAGACCAATTCCTCGACCACATCAATTCCATACACCCAGCCATCAGATTCACCATGGAAGTCGAAAAAGATGGCAAGCTACCCTTTTTGGATGTCCTAATTAAAAGGAGACCTGATGGTTCAATGAGCCACTCTGTCTACAGGAAAGCCACCCATACGGATGCTTACCTAAAACCGGATTCCCACCACCATCCATCCCAGAAGAATTCCCTCATCAAGACTCTATACCATAGAGCCCAATGCATCTCCGACCAGGAACACATTGCCAGTGAACTCAAACACGTACGCCAAGCTCTTAAGGCTAATGGTTACTCCGACTACACAATCCGCAAAGCCATCACTCCAACCATCAAGAAGGATCCTGTTGAGGAGCCTTTCAAAACCATCACCTTACCCTACATTGCTGGGGTCACAAAAAAGATCTCCAAAATCCTGATAAAACACAAGATCCAGGTCCGATTCAACACAGTACATAAAATCCGTGATCTGGTCCCGTCTGTAAAAGATGTGGTTCCAGACATACAGTACCCTGGCGTCTACAAACTAAGTTGCCTCTGTGGTAGCAGTTACATTGGAGAAACCAAACGACATGTCTCGGACCGCATCCGTGAACATAAAGCAGACTTGAAACACGGTAGGACAAACACCTCAGCCGTGGCAGATCACTGTTACAATTCAGTGGGCTCACATGATATTGACTTCTCCAAGACAGAGGTTCTCTGCAAGCCATCTGGCTACCATGAGAGATTCGTTCATGAGGCGATCCACATATACAAACACAGAGACAATTTCAACCGAGAAGATGGATTCTGGCTCAGCAATCATTGGAAGGACGTAATAAACCATTTCGGATCTTAACTGATTGTGTTCACGTTTACGGTGACTTTCAGACCACGTTCCACTCACTGGCATTGACTATATATCTTGTTTTCTCCGCAGGGAATGGATTCTTTGCTCCGCTGCAAGTCTCCTACCACTACTCTCCCATTGACATATTTCGTTGCTTCCTCTTAGTATCTTTCACGTGACGGTCAATGGTACAGTGTATAGCGGATTGTATAATAATAAATAGTATACAATTGTAATGTTTAATACAATGTAGAAAGTTGTATAGTGAATATACAGCAGTGTGATATACATTAGGGTGGGTAGAATAATACATAGTGTAATATTACAATGTATAAGGTGGTGTATAGTAATACAGTATATATTTTAATGTTGGGTTTGTCTATGGCAGTATATAGTACGGTGTAGACTCGTGTGATGTAAGAGAATAAAGTTTAGCTGGAAGCATATTATATTTTTTGCGACATAGAATTGTAATGTATTACTTACTGTTAGCAGCTCAGCGTATTGGAGAGTATATTTAGTATACTGATGATACTATGTAGTTTATACTTTAGTTGTTTACCTTCTTGGTTCTTTCGGTAAAGTCACGTAGAAGGGAAGTAATAAAATAATAAAAATAAAACATAACAAAATAAAATAATTCTCACGACGTTTCGGCTACAACGCAAGAATGAGACACTGCCAAGCTAGGAGCTTATATATAAGCTGGGTTGGAGGTGGAAGAAGAGCGCCTTAACAAAAAGAATGTGTATATCAAGAGGAATTTAGCATATTGTTAAGGCGCTCTTCCACCTCCAACCCAGCTTATATATAAGCTCCTAGCTTGGCAGTGTCTTCTTGGCAGCGTCTTAACAAAAATAATGTGCATATCAAGAGGAATTTAGCATGAATATGCTAAATTCCTCTTGATATGCACATTTTTATAGCATGAAAAAGCTAAATTCCTCTTGATATGCACATTATTTGTGTTAAGGCGCTCTTCTTCCACCTCCAACCCAGCTGATATATAAGCTGCTAGCTTGGCAGTGTCTCATTCTTCACCTGAAGACGGCTGTTTGCGTTGTAGCCGAAACGTCGTGAGAATTATTTTATTTTGTTATGTTTTATTTTTATTATTTTATTACTTCCCTTCTACGTGACTTTACCAAAAGAACCAAGAAGATGAATCCCTGCAGTCACGAAAGCTTTAAATCGAAATTTAGTTGTTTACGTGGTGGTTTAGTTACTGCAGCTACATACTATTAACATTCCTTCCCTTTATTAATGTTACCCCTATCCCCTCCCTTTGATGCTGCTAATCCTGCACAATGCACGGGCATAATGACTTTAAACCCCCCACCAAACCTCCTACGCATTTCACAAGTAGTACTAATCGCATATCTGCATTTCCCATAAATATGCAAAATTCCTCTTGATGTGCAATTTTTTTGTCAAGGCGCTCTTCCCCCCTCCATCCCAGCTTAAATAGTCGCTCCAAGCCTGGGGTGTGTCATTCAAACTCTGTCTTCTCGACAGACCTGTTCTCCACCTGAGGACAGCTGCTTGCGTTGTGGCCGAAACGTCGTGAGAATTATTGTTTTATTTTGATTATTTTATTATTTCCATTCTAAGTGACTAAACAACGATGTAACTCGTATTGACCAAACATCCCAGTGCTGAAAAATTACATGATGTAACATCACACCCTGCTGAAAAAACTTGGCAGAATCCAACTGAAAAACGGTCTTGAGACTCCGTATTCCTTTCCTGGTCAATTAAGCCATAATTGGACACCTGGTGACACATTTTGTACTTTTAACAACATTGGATTCTGACATTACATTCATCCAAAATGTAAATAATAACCCCTAATTGGACTAGGCAAAACTTATTATGAGAAGCAGTTTTACATGATGGGTTTTATTCAGCCCATTGGTGACCAAGCTGACAGTGCCTCAATACACTTTGAGACCCTAGTTTATTGACAGAAAGGATTTCCATGCTGTATTTAATCGGCACTGTTTTTGTCATCTCAGGACTCGTACCGCAAGCAGGTGGTGATTGACAGCGAGACGTGTCTGCTGGACATCCTGGACACGGCCGGGCAGGAGGAGTACAGCGCCATGCGCGACCAGTACATGCGCACGGGCGAGGGCTTCCTCTGCGTCTTCGCCATCAACAACTCTAAGTCCTTCGAGGACATCCACCAGTACAGGTGTGGGTGGCTCACTGCATGGGGGTCCTGTCCGCCCGATCTGCTGTACGATTATATGAGTAAATGGCCGTCCGAGCTGATGATTGAGTGTGTGTTTGACTTTGAATGGAAATATAATGCCTCATTTCAGTGTTGTCATAAAGTGGGGTGGTTGTATGTGGCTACGTGTTTATTGTCAGCAAGGCAAACTATCATATGCTGGGAATAAACAAGGGGTTCTTTGCATACTTTTTTTTACTTAAAGCAAACATTTGGATATGTTTGGAGAAAATGGTTGTGGGAATCCTGGTAAGAAACGCCAACAGCTTAAAATGTAGGGTTGTTAAAATTGCTTTCTCTAATGCATATTTGCTACTCATGAAGAATGTTTAAAAAAACGGCATGGGTAACACTGGACTTGCTCTCCAGAGGCCACCGGTTCCATTCTGTCCCTCAACGCAGCAGTGGAATTAATGGTCCAAGTTTCCTGAATCCCTTCGCCTATGTCCACCCTTTGGTATATATCGGGACACCTCGGTCGATGGGCAGGTCACGTGTGGTGGGGTGAAATGCGAGTATGCCCACCCCTTTCGAGACGTCTGGTCTGCATTGAAGAGTAGATCAAATACCCTTTGGAGCTGCACTTCGTGAAGGCCTCTCCACTGCCAGTGGTGTGAGAGATTGCAGGGTTAACTGAGGTATGGGGCACAGGTACCACGCAGGCTGCCATGCTGTTTGTACGTTCGCACACATTAAATGGTGCAATTATGAGTCAAGCTGCACTGAAAACGATTACTGGGTCCTCACTTTCTGCACCGGTAATCGAGTGTGGAAATGGTTACTGGTTTTTACTATTCTTGGGGGATTGACCGTGCTTCACCACTTATGTTAGCCGGGCACTATGAAACAAACCACTAGCTTCAATTCGCAGCCATGGTTAACTGCAGTGGCGAGCAATATCAGAAATGGTCCTGGGGATCCCTTTCACCAACCTGCACTGACCAGCGTGAAGTATGGTCAAACAAACACCGAGATCACCGTGGTGGTTAGAGCTCTTAACCCAGCCATTGGCTTGGTAAAGGGCTGGAAATGATCGTTATTGTTATGATGACGATGATGTAGGTGTACCTTTGCCTGTTGAGTTTCATGCTGCCATCGATCGGCTGCCCACCCTCCACCCCCACCGCACACTGCAGGGAGCAGATCAAGCGTGTCAAGGACTCGGACGACGTGCCCATGGTGCTGGTGGGCAACAAGTGTGACCTCCCAGCACGCACAGTCGACACCAAACAGGCGCAGGACCTGGCGCGCAGCTACGGGATCCCTTACGTTGAGACGTCCGCCAAGACGCGGCAGGTACGGCCCTCGGCCACCCCTGGGGTCATGGGCATAGAGAGCTGTGCTGGGACCGGCGTGCGAGAGTCTACAGCCCAGCAGTCATGGCAGCTTGAGTGTGGTGCCACCCACTGGAAAGTTCGAGTAGTGAGGCCACTTCGAGCAGCAACCGTCATCCATTGTTCACGCAGAAAAAAAGCCTCACCGTCTCAAGACTGTACTGTCTAGTCTTACATAGTAGGGGGCTATGTGTGCTTTATTTGTGTAAAACTGATGCAGTCATTCATGGTTTCACAAACTAATCTTCTTTGGTATGGCAGGAGGGAAAAGCAACAGTTTTTAAACATGGTATAGTTGAATGCCAATTTCCTTTAACCAATCCAAGGAGGCAGGAGCCGCTTATTTATTGCAGCAACACAGCCAGGATGCGCATGGATGGTGCATAAATTGGTGGCCGGGTTGATGGTTCTGACTTCACCACAGTTGCAGTTTGCCAATTCTTTGATTATTACTTTGTGGAAGGTGTACGCATATCTCCCATGTTGCATTCGAGCATGGTTTGGCGAGTTCCATCATTGTCGTGGGAGAGAAGCCCGGTACTTCCACAGTCGGGTCCTCAACAAAGTTCGTGTTTATTGCAAAATCCATAGCCACCCACGATTCTCCATCCAGCGAGTGCCGATGTCTTGATTCTTGGCCGCAAGAGCAGAGGCGTAGATCCAGAAAGTTTTGCTAGATTTTAGCATATTGTTTGGGAGTTCTTTTCGGTCTTGATGAAGCAGCAGAGCGATGTCCATAAGATTGTGGTTCTCCCAAGTCATCGCAGCACAGGAGCGAAGTTGACTTCAGCGTGTCGCTGATGATATGAAATGCGGTGTTGATTTCGGTATCGATGAGATTTGTGTGTGAGGGCTGGCACCCCACATTTGTGCACCTACATACGACTCTGCAGTAGAATGGACCAGAGCTTGCATTGATATCAACGTGTGGGTTTCGCTTCCCCACGTTTTTCATGCAAGTTTCTGAATAATGTTCACTCGTGTTTTTGTTTTCCTCTTGGCTTGTTCAAGGTGGTGGTGGTCAGTACCAGGACTAGTGGTCATGTGTTATAGGTATTCCAGTGAAGTTGACATTTAATGTTTTGTGGCTTAGCTGTTGTTCAAGTGGAAGACAGATGACACTAGTAAATGTTTTTTACCCTTTTATCTGGCACCAAAACTGACACCTTTATGCAAGGGATCATGTTTGCAATAACCACAACACAAGTAGTCAAAATGCAAACAAAAAGAGATAACACTGATAATGATATGCACTGTCCTTGAAATTGATTGGTCCACACCCGAGACGGCTTTTCTTAGAGCCTAGTCTCCACTGGTATTGGACCAGATGACGCCAAAAGGCGTACAACTTAAAAACAGCGCACTATCAGGGTATTGAGAGCTCGGGGTAAGCATTTACATTATGGGACTTCCTTTGCCAGTCGCAAGATATAGTAATAGGTTTTTTACCCTTTTATCTGGCACCAAAACTGACACCTTTATACAAGGGATCATGTTTTCAATAACCAAATGACACTCTTGAAGGGGTTTGGCTGAAGGCGCCAATTCTTGAACTTCACCTCTAGGGCCTTCAGATGGGGCTTGGGTTGCCAGCACGATGTCATCCGAGTACATGAACTTGCGGGAGGGTGTCGCCGGTGTAAATATTGCAAAGCACTGGAGCAAGAACGGATCCAGCGGAAGTCCATTGTAAAATTTCTGTGGGCAGCTGGCAGCTTCACCAAGGTGGAGGTTGAATCATCGGTATTTTAGCGACGAGACGGATTGTTGGGCAGCAAAGGTATTGCTTCCGCAAGCTTTAGCAGGAAACCATTCAACCGTACAGTATCGTATGTCGAGGAGACGTTGATAAATGCTGTTTTTAGCTGGCATTTGAAGTCGGCCTCAATGTGGCTCATTAAAGCAAACACTGATCGCAGCTATTTTGGCCGATTCTGAACCCGGAATGTTCCTTGGCGACTATATCCTCAAGTGTAGGTATCAGCTTTTTGGCGTTGGAGTGGCTCCATCAGCTTGTAGCAGACACTGACTGGGGAAATCAGGCAGTAGTTTTTAACGTTTGATGCATCCTTGTCGAGTTTAACAACTACGATAATCTTAGCTGCTTTCCATTAGTTGGTTCCTTGCCTACGCAGTGGATATCGATGAGGAAAGTGGCGAGACATTTTGCTCGTGATCTCAAGTTCTTAATGAATTCCGGATAATCCTATTGAGACCTCTGGATTTCATCTGGGAAATCCGAGTGTCTACTTTCCCCCCCCCCCCCCCCCCATTGAGAAAGGGCCGGAGAATGTGGAGGCATGTTGGCAGCAGTTGAGATTGCGTTCGAGTTTTTTTTTGTTAACTGGCCATCCAATGTTGTTTGATCGGTGCTTGTGAATTGCTGATTTAGTTGTCCGGCAATGTTTTTGGGGTTAACTTGGGGATGTTTATTAGTTGGTGTCGCTGTTGCTTCCGGCAGCCTTAGAAGGTGCCAGGTTTTTCGGCTCATTTTTGTAAAGTCAAGAGCCTCTGCTGCTTCACTCAACCTTTTTTCTTTTTTGCCGAGTTCAGTGACTCAAGCAATGCTTTTGCGGTCTTTTCCGATCGGCATTGAATTGTCACAAAATTAGTATTTTATTTTTGGAGACCAATAGGGAGTGAAGGCTTTTCTAAAGCCTCTTGCGACATTGGCCTTTGTAGCTGCCTGGATAAGCCAATGAAGTGATTGAAGTTGGTAATTCGTGGGGAATCATTCCAACAGATTTCTCCATAGTTGCAGTAATTCGGCAATACAGTCGTTCGCAGGTGTACGAGTGGAATCTGAAGGCCGATAGGATCACTACATGTCTACGTTGCCTATTTGGAAAATCGTCGAGGAAATTTCTCATTGACTTCATATAATTACCACTAGCTGTACTACCCGGCTTCGCCCGGGACTTGTATCCACCACGCCCGGCCGCCTTTGTCTCCCCAGTGGCGATGTTAATACGCCACACCAGTTACTCGTTTTGAGGCTGAGTCCCTCCCTCACCACTCTCCCTCTCTCCTCCTCACCACTCTCCCTCCCTCACCACTCTCCCTCCCTCACCACTCTCCCTCCCTCACCACTCTGTAGAGGACGTGAAACTTTGATGAATTGACCTCAGAGTCGCGTGGTGGGTGTCGAGGCCTAGCACCGTGCAGAGCCTCCGGCCTCGCCTGATTTTCCCACCCGGCTGAGGCTGGGTACGGGTGCCGTTCCCCCCCCCCGCGCTACAATAATACTGTCTAATCGCTATAATATTATAATCTACCGACCCTATTATAGTAATTGCACACATTGTGGTGGGGGGGGAGTGAAGAGGACGTGAAACTTTGATGAATTTACCTCAGTCGCGTGTTAATGCGTGCGCCTATTTTTAACGGGAATTAAAAATGGCGTCCACCCCGCGGCGAAGGCGTCGCTACCCGTTGTCAGGGGCAACCGCCGTCCAATGAAAGCGGCGAAGGCGTCGCTACCCGTTGCCAGGGGCAACCGCCGTCCAATGAAACTGCGTATGGTCCGGCGACACACAGATAGACAGACAGACAGATTCGCGATTTTATATATATAGATTCTTATCTCATGAAACAAAACAAATCGGGCGTGTAACATTTTTCCACCGAGCTGACTTGAAAGTACCGTGGTCTTTTGGTCTTCTGCCACTGTCCCCGATGTCAGTTGTTCACCTGCTTAATCGTTGGCATCATAGTCCCCACAGGGTGTGGTGGGTATTGAAGTCGCCAGCATGGATGGATGTTCGGGTGGTTTGGCAGTGGTAGCAATAGACACGGCCATTCCATATATGGAGGCTTGTAAACGATGACAACTGTTAAGTCGTTGATTTTGATGGCGACGTAGTGGGGTGAATTGTTGAGCACGACCAGGTCCATCTTTTCATGTGTTGCGAGGCGTGTCTCAGATTGTGGCTTTAGGAGACGAGGGTGTAGCCGTTTATATTCGAGTGAAGGCATTCGTGGGCCAGATGGATTTCTTACAGCACGAGGACATCAGTGTCTTAAAACTTGAGCATCTTCACGATATAATCACATTTTGCACCAGAGATGCCCTCTGGTCATTTGCATTATTCACGACGGCAGCTAACGTTCACCTTTCTTTGGCCTTGAGAAGAAGGGCCATTTCTCCCGTTACTTGTCAGGCTGGGATACCTTTGTCAGGCTTTCGGCTGCCAATTTGATGACATTTGTTTTGCTTTCGCACCTGGAGTGGAAGTGGAGACGGCCAGCAGCCTGTCATCTCAACAAACCATTCGTTTTGCTCAATTGAAAAGGCATATGAAACCGAATTGGCCACGTACATCATCAGTAACAGGTGGTGTTTGAACCAGGACTTGGCTTCCTTATGTAAACTCAGCCTTCAATTAAGTGCCTTCTGCAATGTCTAAGTATCAGCAGTGGGGAGACATGGGTGGTGGGTCTTGCACTTGCCATACCATTCCTCCTGTCCTGCACTACCCTCAGTACGCACTCACTAAACTGCCACGACGTACAAGGAGGCTAAGCAGGGAATGTGTGCGCGCGTACCAGGGCGTGGAAGATGCGTTCTACACCCTGGTGCGTGAGATCCGGGACCACAAACTGCGCAAGATGAACAACGCCAACAACAAGGACGAGTGCAGCGTGTGCAGCTGCGTGCTCTCCTGACCCCTGGTGAGGGCACAGTGCGCGTCGAAGCAGCCACAGCAGCAAGCGCAGCAGCAGCTACAGCAGCAGGCGCAGCAGCAGCAGGCGCAGCAGCAGCAGCATGCCAGCATTGGGAAGCACCGAACCCTGGGCACGGAGCTGTATGCGCAGGGCATGTGCCATTGGGTTCCCTGATATCCTCCTCTGCTGTACTGGCACTTTGCAATGTCTCTAAACCGTAGCTTGTCTACAATAATCCGCTCAACCGCTGGTACAAGCTTTGTCACATACTCTCGCTATCCTGTTGCTAATGACAATCCCTGTTGCCTGATGCTTCCCATCGTTCCTCCCACTGTACCACAGAGCCTGACCTGTCAAGCCATATTTTATTATTATTCCTCTTATTTACCCAAGAAATCCTCACTGGATCTGATGACTTTTTCAGGAAGTTCCTGCCAAGTTTGGCATAGTAGGTGGGCGATGTTGCTGTGTGTAATCCCACTTGAGTAATTTTCAGGTAAAATCTTTTGCATTGGCATAATTTGGCCAAAACCAGTTATATTGTATGGTGGGGTTTTTGGCTATGGCAGGGAACTGGAAAAAACCCATGTAGAGCAGGGGGAAATTATACAAACCCAGGCACATCTTTCTGCGAGGCATTCGCCTTACCACTGCACCACTCTGCCACCCACCTAGTTTCACTTCTGCAAAGTGGAATATTATAACGTGTCAAATCAGCGGCAAGGTTGGTGCATGTCCTGACATTTCAATGTCGTTCATGTTTTGCTGTTTCTACTCCAGCTTTCCCCATGGGTCTATTTCCTCCTTCGGTTACCTTCAGTAGCCATGCCACCTCCAGCAGTGGTCCTAAAGCTCGGGAGGCACAGGGCCCGCTAGCCAGCTTCTCGCTGCTACCACGGTTGGTGCCAATGGCACAAACATTTAGGCGAAGGTTAGGCTGGCATGTAAGTTTTATTGTGTGCCGATTCTTGGCCAACATACCAGATTGTTCCAACTCCTTCCCAGAAAGCTCATCTGCATTTAGCCATCAGCAGGTTTTCAGACATGGCATTGCACTGAAATATCTGCACCACCCCTGATTTGATAATTAAACAATCACAGCATGACAGTCCCTCGTGAAATAATCTGCTGTGTGTGTGTGTGCGTGTTGCAAGGTGCTTGTGCATGCGGAGATGCCGTAGAGTGCCACTATGCGGCCGCCGCCTGCATTCGAGCCCCGAGGTGCTGGTCTCCGCCGACATCCCGGGGCTGCGAGACCTTCCTGAGGGGCCGGGGGGAGCTGCAGGCGGCCAGTCCAACCCAGCCTCTCCCTCCCTCATCTCCCACAGCCATGGCCACTCACTCTTTAATGCTGGCCATGTTTATCAACGGGCGGCAGTGCACAGCGGCCCGCGGGCTCGGAGTGCCGAACTCTTAACGCTGCCGTCGCCGCCGCCACCACCACCACCACAGCTACGCTGACGCACTCTCCCTCTGGGGCCGGGACCCCCGTCTTGTTGCTGCTGTAGGAACGTGGCACACTGCTCCACGTCTGTCCCGCTGTAGGAACGTGGCGCGCTGCCCAGCACCTCTGGTGTGCAGGGACGGCGGGCGCAGCCAGGGCAGTTGGTTGGTTTCTAGTGGCATGAGCCGTGAACTCGAAAGGGAAATGCCTAACAGGTTGTACCACGTGCGGAGTTGCGATGATTTCACTGCACATTTGAATTTTGAAAATTATTTTGTTTTTATTTAGTCCTGTTGTCTAACACAGTTGTTTTGAGTAGATGTGCGGAAGTGTGTTTTACTGCGTATGACTGCATTTGTGTGCATGTGTGTGCGCATGTGGGGAGTGGTGGTGGAGTGGTTCACACACTGATTTTTGGCCATGCTCATGTAAATGGGTACTGGAACCGTGCCTGTGCCTCCTCTAGGTTGACTCGGTCTAAACACGAGTACCTTGTGCGGTGATGTGTCAACATCAATACTGGAGAGATGGGTATGCATGGCGCTAGCCAGACAACCCCCTCTTGTGCTGTGCCAGCCTGCATAGGTGCTCACCAACAGCGTTTGCCCCGCAGTCTATAAGGCTGACCTATATGTATATAAATGTAAACGCAGTATATAATTGTGCGTGTGTGTATAAAGTACTGATCGAGAAACCATTTCAGAAAACCTAAAGCCAAAAATGTGGCGATGTGAATCTCATGTTAGAGCAGTTGTGTGTTATTTGTTCATCGCACTTCGCTTCGATCCCCTCTTTCCATTTAGCTGGCTCATGACTGGCACCTCTATGACAGGGCTGTGTGACAGATGGAGCTTCCGCCGTGTCGAGACGGCAGTGGGAGGGAGCTCGTGCTCCCAGCCGCGGGTGCAACCGCTTTGTCACCACAGACACTGGGACATTCTTGGATTGGTAAATAACCGGTAACCGTTTGAGAATTGGTTACCAGTCCGGAGAGTCAGGAGCCGGTAACCGTTTCAAACAAAATGTTAGCATTGAATGCGCTGATTGGCATGGTGCAAGCATACAAACGGCACGTTTACCCTCGTAACTCGGCTAGACGGAGCTCTCGAGGGTATTTGGTCGACCACGCTGATTAGACGTCTCAGAAGAGGTGGGCATACCCACACTTTACCCCACTGCATGCGACCTGCTGATCAACTATGGTCAACCCATATATTCTGCCAGGTGGACAGACGATGGCAAAATTTTGGACACTTGCCCCATTTTATCAGCTGCCACGTCAAGAGATTGAATCAAACCACCAGCGAACTCTGGATTGCAAGGCTAGTGTGCTCACCATTACAACGTGGCAACGGCATGCGTTGCTCAGTTAAAAAAGGTAAACGTTTCATGTATGTGGCACACAGGTGACTAGTGTTTTTTTCCAGATTTATTTGAATGCGGTTACCGGCAATACAAATGGATTTTCACGACCCTGGAACGTCCCCCTCGCAGGGCACAGAAGCCGCGAGTGGCGGGGTGGGCACGCCTTGCCTTGCCAGCCCCACTCGGCGCGCTTGGCTGGCGAACCCACGTGTGAAGAAACGTAACGCTGCCTTTTTGACTCGTAAGGCGGGCCTTCATAGTGCAGAGCTTGTCCTCAGCCAATTCACTTGGTCGTGACATTTTATGCATTTGCAGCCAGGTGGGGTGTGACTTGCCACCGTGCGCCCGTTGCACAGGAAAATAGGGCTCGGCAGAAGTCGACCCAAAGCCACCGATTCTGCACAGGCCGCCACCCTCTTCAGAATCGCCACTGTTGTACAGTGACCAGCGCAGTGGGATGGTAAGAGGATATGTTCATCTCCGCAGGCTAGAATGCTCAATGAGGGTACGTTTTTATCCATTTTTGATCAGTAGCTGCCTAAAACATTAACTTAATTAATGTATAACTTGTAGGTGCGTTGGTAATGTGGTCCCGTAAATCGGCGGTGTGGAGACGGCTTGTGGCTTGCGCAGGAATCTGAGCCATGATTATCAGCATGAGACAACCACCTTCTGAGCAACTTGATGGTGCCTGCCAAAGGCAGTATAGCAAGTCGGTTGCAGCTAGCTTCATCTTTTTAGTCGAGATTTGAGTGTTCTCTTGTATGCCTTGGTTTTCTCCAGTCTCTGGTTTCCTCCCATGTGTAAAAATACTCGACAACAGACTTAACACCACTGGAAGAGGTCCTTCTTGAAACTGCCTTCAAGACTTGCTGATGCTTTCCTGGGTGGAGACTTTCCATTGTTGCTTTGGTTATTTAAGGCCCTGTGCAAGGCCTTGCAATTTAAGTGTTTTGCTTCGTAAATTACCTATACTCGAGTCAAGTTCAACGTGCGATGTTTTAAACGTGGAGACACTGGAGAGCCGATCTTGTGGAGTCCGATGTTATTACTGTTTTTGAATGAAACACCCTTCGTGTTCAGGCTTGCCTCGTATGAGGCTTATTTGAATCGCTGCTGGATAAGCAGGGCTTTCATTTTGTGTTTAAAAGGCAGTGGTGAATCTCTGCAATCCATGGAAATGAATAATTGGTCGTTGAACGCCTCTGCTCTGGTTGTGGTTATCCAGAACTACATTTTTACTGTAAGTGGCTTCACAATTGCAATGCACACAAGGAATGTGATGTGTATGTAGATGTGGCTCACAAACATTGCCATCACAGTAGGACATTGATAGAAGTACCCGAGGTTGTAGTGATTGACTTTAGTTCTGCAAGGGAGGTCACTGCAGTGTAGTGGGCTCCATATGGCAGGGTGGTGGCAAAGGGGTAACACTCGTGCCTCACAGCAAGAAAAACCTCCGATGAATTTCCAACTCGGGTGCCTAAATGTGTGCAGTTCGTATGTTCTCCGGTTCTACATGGGTTTCCTCTGGGTTCTGTGAGTTCCTCCCATAGTTGAAAAAGAGTGTCACTGATATTGGCTGAAAATGTACCTGCAAGTTACTCAATTGAGATTCCACATAGCAACATCGTAAAAACTTGGAAGAACCCTTCTGAAAAAGGCTTAAGACTCTACAATGCTTTCCTGGTTAAATAAGCAAGATACTAATTCATAACATGTTGCTCTGTACCTCGATAAGCTTTGCAACAGTCAGCAATCTCCAATGTAATGTTGCTAACTTAAATCAACTCAAGGATTTCCATACACGTGCCATGACCCAAAACTAACTCCTGGCAGCTATGACGAATACGCAGCCCCAGAATAATGTGCAGGCCCCGAGCCACGTGCGGGCCACGTGCGTGCGGTGCGAGGGGTGGGACGTTAAAACGGCTGTTGGGACTCTGCCACGAGCTTGTTCGTTCATGATGCCACATGGCCATGGAGTGTGAATTAATGAGCTTCCATACATAGTGTTATATATATTCAGTACTCTATAACAATATATTGTAAATGTTATTCTCATTACTAAAATCACGTAATAATGGAAAAGAATTTGCAAATGTAACTGGGTAAATTATCCAGACTTGGGAGCCAAACTAAGGCATATAATGTTTAGGGTTCATTGAAAATCAAATCTGTAAATTACAAA